TATATATATATATATATATATATATATATATATATATATTGATTAATAAGCTCCTCTGCAGAGCAAGTTGTGCAGCATTTAGGAGCAGCATTTAAAGGTCAGGGATTGAACAAGCTGAAATTATCAATTTAGTTTAGAGATGAGTTCTGCAAAATACATACTATGCAGATACAAATTAAATATGCAAAGCTCTCTGCAAATATATATATATATATATATTAGGGTCAGGCTGGATCTCACCTTACTTGTGTTGCAGAAAGGCAACAGAATACTTCTGCAAACTGAAATCGAATCCCCGAAATTTTATTTGCAAATTTGTCTTTAACTACTCAAGTGGGTCCTAGGTTAGATTTCTTAGGCAGAGCAATGACAGGGAGCCAGCGCGTCATCGCTTCATCTCCCGCAGAAGATGTCTTTGCGTTTATGCCCAAGTAACAAGTGCCCTCCACATTTCCACCACAGAGCATTGAATTTACCGCATCGACGCTGTGAGCGCGCCGTGAGTCAAGTAACATACGAACATCTGGGTAAAAGCTGCATTTAGGGCATCAGTAAAAAGAACAAAATAAATCCTGTTTCTAACATGGAAAACTCTGATAAGCCAGCGTTTATAGACTGTCCGTGCTTTGGCTGCGAGGCAGATTTTATGTTGCTTTGTGACCAAACTCTTACAGAAAGAGAGAAAAAAAAAAGTAATATATTTAAATGCGAGTACCAATCTCTCCCCGCATCATCCTGACTGGCTCAGCTCTGCACGCAGACACCACAAAGTATATATGAAATGACTCACCTGCTTTTCCAAGGTGAACATTTCCCCATGTCTTTCTTAGAATTAAAAAGAAGCCGGGACTGATTGTCCGTCTCGGAGTCTTCACTTGCAGTTGTAGAGTGTGTACTCCAAATATCCTTGGAATTCTGTAAAGCTTATGTTTTTAGGGAATAACCTTCTTGCGGAGCGAACACGGCCCTCATTATCCTTCTCTAAAATTCACGGATTCCCCTGCCATTAAGGCAATGTTCATATTATTTTTACTCCAGCGGGAAGCTCCCCTCCAAGTCCTGGTGCGTTTTGACGCTTTCGCCTTGACTCCTCTCTACGCGCGCACCGCGGGACCGCGCTGCGCTTTCCCGTGCGGACGTGTGCGGGAGCGCCAACTGGAGACTGATAAAGAGAGTTACTAGGTAACCAAGGGCACACTCATCATACATGAAAAGGAGCGGACGGTTTATGCCACCCAGCTATCCCCTGCCCATCTGCTCTGTCTGCTTTGACAACTCGTCAAATATAACCTTGTTTTATTAAGTCAAAGGGTCACTTTTTAGTGTCTTCTGCAGAAGAACCAATCCTGTGCTGAAGCAAAGTTTAGAATTTAGATTAAATTCTACAAAGATGACAGATCTAATCAAGACAGAGGCTTCTTTTTATTGGGCCAGAGTAAATTAATGAATGCACAGGGAGGGTTTTATTCTGAGCGGATGACTCGGGTACCTAATAAGTAAAACAGTAAATTTTATTCTTCATCTTGCTTTCCTGTATAAACTGCTTCTAGGAAACTGATAAATATTCATATTTCTGGCACAAGCCAATAAACTTTCTCTCATGTGATATCATTAGAACCACAATGGTCAGTATATAATTTACAGCCTTTATTTGTGACGGGTGATGAAAAAATGAGATGGTTTTTCAACTATTCTTAAAAATAAAGATCTGAAAGGTGTGGTGTGCAGTTGTATGCCACACAGATAACTAATACTCTTAAATAGCATCAAATGCAACCAGCTGCCTTTAGAAATGACCTTTTTAATAAAGATTTATATATAGATTTTTTCATTATTTCCGATATTGTTAAGAAAATAAGGTTCTTTTAATGTTGCAATAAACAAAAATGTTAAAGATTTTATTTTATTCATTTTTTACAAAATAAAAGATAACTTTTCTTTTTGGGGAGCAGAAAGGCAGTTCAGGTTTTGTTCCACCTGTGGAACCATAGGATTGGTGTGTATCGGGCAGAGTTAAATTACCTGTAGATAATGGGAAAGGTTTCGCAGTTCTATGGTAGTAGAACAAAAGGCAAGGTTTTGAGGAATTGTCAACTGCCCAAGGAGAAATTTTTGATCAAATGCTAACCCAACTGTTTTTAATATTCTTTTTTGTTTTTGAATTTTTGTTATTTTATTTTATTCATTTTTTATTTTTTCCTACTTGCTTTGATTCTGTTTTATCTTCCTGTATTTTAATCATATAAAGCATTTTGCATTGTCTCTGTACTGAATTGTGCTTCACAAATAAATTTGCCTTGCCTTGCCTTGCCTAATCTCCATAAAAAAAAGAGGTCTTCACTACTGGAACTTTTTTTTTTAATGTAAATGACTTTTATCACTTTAAAGACATTTGCACTTTATGACAAAAGAGCAGCTTGATTAGCACTATGACACTTTATTTAGCACTGCACTTTAAGCATAGATATGCACATAAAGAATCATTTGTGCGCAAGGATTTTAAATGATTTATTTGATATTTGAGTATTTCATCAGTTGGTGTGTAGCCTTTTCTTCTAGGCTCTGCACAGCTGCTCCATTAACAATTTGGGTAGTTGTCTGTTACTGTTTAGAAACTTTAGCATATGTTAGTGTACAATCTGTTGGAAGAGAGTGCAGAAGAAGTGTTGTGATGCTAGGAAAGTGACTTACCTGTTCTGTGTTCTCTCCAGGGTGTTTGGACAAATGCTTCTGTGGGGGTCAAGACACCTTTTATAGGTTCTGTGGGAGACAATGGAAAATATGGGGGGTTGGTGCACATACTTTGTGAGATTTCTATGGTGTTTGGGTGTAAATTTAAATTAGAAAATGTTCATAAAAAAACAAAACGTAAATGTGTATGTATATATTTGATTTAAATGTGTTTAAGGCAGAGATTTTGTATTTGATAGGAGGCTTGATGCTGTGAAGCTGAATAAACCTGCTGATACTTCCCCTTCACTTTGACTGATAGTTTCATTTTCTTACCGGAAAGCCAGCCAAAAGGTCGCCTGGTAACACTTGTTCACTAAAACTGTCAAGGCTCAGAACAGGCTCAGTATTCAGACAGACAGTAAGATATTTCAAAGGGCGTTTATTTAAAAATGACGGCTCTGCAGTGAACAGATAGGGTATCTAAGGCAAGAACCTCTGCAGGAGAAAAACTCAAGTTAGTGACCCCGTTAATCTGGCGAAGGATGATTATGAATGTGTGAGTCACTAACCTGGTCTTAAAGTTCGGTCCATACCCAGAGGAAGAGCTGGATTACAGCTGGACAACACGGGGTGAACGCTGCCCAGAGAGTTCCAGAGGTTTAAGTCTTAAAAACAGCTAAATTGGCAGGAGTTCAGATCCAAGCAGACGAAGGAAGGCAGGACAATCCAGAGGGCAAAATCAAAGCCGGTGTCGTAGAGTTTCAGGAGCCCAGGCCAGAAGATCCAAAGAGGTACCGAAGGCAAATCCAGGTCAGTGTGAGGAAGCAGTTCCAGGTTCGGTCAACAGGCACAATACAGCAGGAGTCTGAAGAAAGGTCAGGCAAACGGATCAGAACAGGCACACGCAGGTTCAGAGGTTCAAAGGCAGAACGGGTCAGGATCAGGCAATCTTTTTATTAAAATGGAGGACAGGGAAAATAATATTGATAATACAATATAAGGATGAAATAAGGGATACTCTTAAGATGTGTGTAGATGGCTTTAAAAAAAGGCTGTTTTATGTAGCCCTAGAAGGACTGTTTGGTGTTCCTACCAACAAACGGACCAGTAGTCGCCTTCTCTCCCCGAAAAAAGATATCCAATTGTATATACTGGTACTTGTAGTTTTAAAAACCAACCCTCAAGAAAACTTTATATTCGATTCAAGCCTCTATGAATGGAGGCTGAAAATCCCCACAGGCTGGCCATTGCAGTTCAAGAACTGCGACTGCATTTCTTAGGGTCAAAATCCTGATGAACTGATTGTACAGATGATGTTTTAAGGTTGACATTCTTGTTTCATGACCCAGCATACACATTTTGTCGTTTAAGTGATTTTGACGTCCAGATTGCTTGCGGTGTGAACGCACTTTGAGAGCAACCCATTCTTTCACAGATATTTGTTAAAACAGTCTGGATGCTTGGTTTTAAACACCTATGGCCATGGAAGTGATTGAAATATCTGATTCTAATAATTAAGTAGGCAAATCCTTTTGGCAATACAGTGTACTTATTAAATATGTGCATTGAAAAGATTGCTGTGAGGTATTGTTGATATGTGCTTTGGGCTTTGAGTTGCATGTAGCAGATTTTTTTCCTTCCTTTAACATCCTCCCGTGGTAAGAAATAAATGGGTTCCTGAATAGTCTGGCTTGTAAATGCTTCAGAAACTTTTCAACTTTTGCTCAGTCTGGATATGGGTCATCAAGCAGCTATGTTTCAATCTTAGGAAGTTAGATGTGTTTTACAAGTATTGCATATAACTTTGTCTTTCCTATTTTGCAGAAGTGCTGAGATAATTAAGAATGCTTATCATGTTGTATTGATAGCCCCAAAAATAGTTAGTTAGAATATAATTAGATCCCCTCATTAAGTATACATTCACAAAATATTCTCTTTACCTGTTTTGATTTAAGTTTTAGGAGACCTTCTAAATGTCAGGAATCCAGTTTGTGTGGTCTGTTTTTGTGTTTCCTTTCCTCCTCAACCAGGTGGTGCCCCGTCCTCATTGGGCCTCCCTGCACACCTGCGGAGTTTAGCAGAGTCTAACCTGAATTTTTGTTTTGCCAGTTTTGGGTTCTCTAGCCAAGCTGAGTTTTGCTGAGTCAAACTGAGTTTTTGTCAACCTGAGTCTTAACCTTGTTTTTGTTCTTTGCCTCTCGGCAGGAAGTTATCCTGCAAACTGGATTTTTTTCGGACCATCTCTCTCTGGAAGGATCAACTTTGCTTCTAACTGAGCAGTGGTTCCAAACAGGAGGTTTGGATCCACTTTCCTCAAGAGGTTGTTTGAGCTTCACACTGAGCAAGGGTTTCATCTGCGCCACAGCACGTTCAAGTACCGCAGGAAATCTGAGTGGCAGTCAGCTACTCCGTTCACCAAGGAACAACCGCAGACTGAGTAAACCCCGTCAGCCCACCATCAAACAAGACAATCACTGGAACATCCCACACAGACTGGATTCAGTAAAGACACCTCTTTTTCTGGAAATGTGAGTCTGTAACCTATTCCTCCTCTTTAAGCCAAAGAATCAAATTTCCCACTGAGCCTGAACTAACCGCAGTGTCTTCCCCTCACTTTCCAGTTCCGGTTTGACAGTGTTCAGAGCAGCACTGGACTCATCTCAATATTCTAAATAAACCTTTTCCCTGGTCTCTCTGTTTGGTCTTCTGCATTTTGGGGCAGACCCTTTAATTAAATCATGACACTAAATATTGTAACTTGGATTTTATTCGAATCAGTTATTTCCTGTTTTTTTTTTTTTGACATTTTACCCATCTTTACCAGCAGTGAATATCTTTGTTTGCTCTGGTGAATCTAACATGAACATATAATATGCCACAAAATGTAATCATCATTCAATTCTATAAACAGATTCAAATGTTTCAGAGAATAAAAAGTGTGTCTTGAATAATCTATGACTCACAAAATAGTTATGTCGTAAGAGTTCAGTAGTATACACTTTAGTATCGATCTTTATCTATCTTTGGAGTTAAACACAGACAGAATCAGTAATTACAGTAGCCTTCCTGGTTCAAATCATTTAAAACCTATTTAGTTCTCTTGAACAAAAAACTTGCGTCTATGAAAGGGGTTATTCCACACTTGTGTGGAGTGATCATGTAATTATAGAACAGCAAGGGGTGGATGCGACATTGGCTTTTTTGCCTTTGACTTTTAAATCAAACACCAATCATAGATAAAAAAGACGCAGATAATCTAATACCGACCAGGGTGGGAGGCCTGCTTTGACTGGGCAAGATGCTGGAAAAATACAAATGAATAACAAAAAATGGTACCACTGAAAGGGGGTTCTGTTGGCCTTACTCTTTGTGAGCCGCACCACCATGACATGAAGTGCATACTAAAGCTTT